GTGCCAAGGGGATAGGCCAGCAATAGAAATTTATATTAATTTATTGTTCTATTGAGGCAGATTTTAAATAATGCATTATATTGATAAATAATTATATTTTTTATAGAAATGCTGTTACGTATTGTTTATTAAGGTGTAACTAACATGTATAAACGAAAAAAGTTGATTTTTAGTAAGTTAGGTTCTTATGGAACCGAGGTCACACCAGTTACAATCAAAATAGCCTATCTCAACTAAATGTGAGTAGACGAACCTAAGCGACGTGTTTTCTAGTTCATAATGATGTAATAAACATATTTTAAAAGAATAAAGAAAGTCGTGCCAAGGGGATAGGCCAGCAATAGAAATTTATGGTAATTTATTATTTTCTCGAGGCAGATTTTAAATAATGCATTCAATTGAGAAATCATGATACTTTCACCGACATTTTTCTAGGTATAGTTTATTAAGAAGTAACTCAACATGTATAAATGGAAAAAACAGATATTTAGTATGTTGGGTTATTATGGAACCGAGGTCACATTACATATAATACATATAATACATTTCAACTAACTAGCAATACGAGTGTAAAAATAATTATAAATTAAGATATAGTGCTATAATAGGCTTTAAGCTTTAACTTTGTTTACAACTCCATGAAAACATTCATTAATTTATGCAGTTTTTTACATATATTTTAGACACATAATATAACCAACAGTTGGCGGGAACTGCCGAACGACATCTTGGCCGTGTTTCGTCGAAAAAAGTTCCCGCCACTTGATATTTTGGAGGTTATGTCGTCTAATCTATGACGAATCCTGCTGTGACGCCATCATTGTTGTGACGTTTTACTGTGACGTATATTAGACAATTGACGTGAACCTGGCAATAACTCCAGCCATAAGTAGTGCGCGCGCCCGCTAAAACCTATTGCCGGCGGTTTTGCGGCAAAATACGTCCGCGAACGATATTACCAATAATGCCACCAGATAGAGGACACTTTAACGGACACGACAGTATCAAAATTATGTACCTGGGGAGTAGAATAAAGGGGTAAAACCAGCAATAAGTTATGTGCGCGCCCGAAAAAATCTATTGCTGGCCGTGTTGCGGCAAAATACGTCCGCGAACCATATTACCAGTAATGCCACCAGATAGAGGACACTTTAACGTACACGACAGTATCAAAATTATGTACCTGGGGAGTAGAATAAGGGGGGTAAAACCAGCAATAAGTTATGCGCGCGCCCGAAAAAATCTATTGCTGGCCGTGTTGCGGCAAAATACGTCCGCGAACCATATTACCAATAATGCCACCAGATAGAGGACACTTTAACGTACACGACAGTATCAAAATTATGTACCTGGGGAGTAGAATAAGGGGGGTAAAACCAGCAATAAGTTATGCGCGCGCCCGAAAAAATCTATTGCTGGACGTGTTGCGGCAAAATACGTCCGCGAACCATATTACCAATAATGCCACCAGATAGAGGACACTTTAACGTACACGACAGTACGTTACCTATTACTACTCGTCTACTACACATGTTATTGAATAAGTAAATAATTCGAAACTAATAGGCATTGGTATGTTCAAAGATTAGACTGTAAATTTACAATTTAAATCATGGCAAGAACATCATTTTGTTTATATCAACTCACAATTAGGAAGATCGCATTTGCGTTGAAGTAGGCCTAACTCCATTTGAACCAACACACACTTCACTCACAATAACATCAACACACCATCATCACGCCTTTAAATGTAAATGATCATTAATACCGACAAAAGCGTAGTATTGCTACTCTAATAAATATGTTAAATATTACGAAACTAACTGAAAGTGTTAACATAAAATATTCCAAACAACTACAAATTACAACCCGTTTGTCGGTTGGTTTGGTGTACCACATACACACACAAGGCCGGCGGGAATCGGGATGTAAGTAAACAAAGCTACACTAGCGCTCAGCACTCCCAGCGATAAAAGTAAAAATCAACATCCGAAGTCAGCCAATGTAGTTGCGCGTATAAACGTCACCCGCCGACCCAAACAATGCTGCTTTTAATTCACACAGCTGCCACCTGTCAAATTCTTTGTTATTGTAAATAAAGTTAAACTAACAGATTTTACGAATATTTCACGCAGACGACAACATGAAATAACCTGGAACTAGTTTTGACAGACGACAGACGACAACTAGACCCAGACCACAGAAAACGTACTACTATACCCAGAATGCCAACCGCATGGTAAAAAGCATTAAGCGGTTTGAGAGAGCTTTGCCTGTCAATCCGTAGGCAGCGCCACCAGCGTTGCCATGCAATAGCATAGCAACGCTGGTGGCGCTGCCTACGGATTGACAGGCAAAGCTCTCTCAAACCGCTTAATGCTTTTTACCATGCGGTTGGCATTCTGGGTTATAGTAGTACGTTTTCTGTGCCCAGACCCTGGCCGGCTCAACAACAACAAGTGAATTTGCGATCAGCTGTTGCCTAGTAGTACTTGTGTTCACCGCTTGAGCGCGTAAGCCTCGAGCGGACAGAAGTGAAGGATTTTACTTCTAAAACGGGGCATTATACAATACATCCTTCGTCGACTGCCGAAAAGTTAACTACAACGTATTACAGCCTCGAGCGCTTACGATACTTAAGTATTATACCGGGGCTTAATATTATTAACATGTTATAGATTATTGTTTCAGGATCATCTCAGTGGTATTACTAGTTACAGGAATAATGGAAATGTATTGCATATCGTGGGCTCATAAAGCCGTACCTATACAGAAACAAATATGGTAAGTTGTTTACATACTTAATAACACATGACTAGACTGGTTGTTTATTTTACGCTCCTTACAAACTACTTTTACTATTAGGTACTAGTTGTATTTGTTGTTTAATGTAGATTTTAGCGGGCGCGCGCACAACTTATTGCTGGTTTTACCCCCCTTATTCTACTCCCCAGGTACATAATTTTGATACTGTCGTGTCCGTTAAAGTGTCCTCTATCTGGTGGCATTATTGGTAATATGGTTCGCGGACGTATTTTGCCACAACACGTCCAGCAATAGATTTTTTCGGGCGCGCGCATAACTTATTGCTGGTTTTACCTCCCTTATTCTACTCCCCAGGTACATAATTTTGATACTGTCGTGTCCGTTAAAGTGTCCTCTATCTGGTGGCATTATTGGTAATATTGTTCGCGGACGTATTTTGCCGCAACACGGCCAGCAATAGATTTTTTCGGGCGCGCGCATAACTTATTGCTGGTTTTGCCCCCCTTATTCTACTCCCCAGGTACATAATTTTGATACTGTCGTGTCCGTTAAAGTGTCCTCTATCTGGTGGCATTATTGGTAATATGGTTCGCGGACGTATTTTGCCGCAACACGGCCAGCAATAGATTTTTTCGGGCGCGCGCATAACTTATTGCACTGGTTTTACCCCCCTTATTCTACTCCCCAGGTACATAATTTTGATACTGTCGTGTCCGTTAAAGTGTCCTCTATCTGGTGGCATTATTGGTAATATGGTTCGTGGACGTATTTTGCCGCAACACGGCCAGCAATAGATTTTTTCGGGCGCGCGTATAACTTATTGCTGGTTTTACCCCCCTTATTCTACTCCCCAGGTACATAATTTTGATACTGTCGTGTCCGTTAAAGTGTCCTCTATCTGGTGGCATTATTGGTAATATGGTTCGCGGACGTATTTTGCCGCAACACGGCCAGCAATAGATTTTTTCGGGCGCGCGCATAACTTATTGCTGGTTTTCCCCCCCCTAATTCTACTCCCCAGGTACATAATTTTGATACTGTCGTGTCCGTTAAAGTGTCCTCTATCTGGTGGCATTATTAGTTATATGGTTCGCGGACGTATTTTGCCGCAACACGGCCAGCAATAGATTTTAGCAGGCTTGCGCATAACTTATTGCTGGTTTTACCCCCCTTATTCTACTCCCCAGGTACATAATTTTGATACTGTCGTGTCCGTTAAAGTGTCTTCTATCTGGTGGCATTATTGGTAATATGGTTCGCGGACGTATTTTGCCGCAACACGGCCAGCAATAGATTTTTTTCGGGCGCGCGCATAACTTATTGCTGGTTTTACCCCCCTTATTCTACTCCCCAGGTACATAATTTTGATACTGTCGTGTCCGTTAAAGTGTCCTCTATCTGGTGGCATTATTGGTAAAATGGTTCGCGGACGTATTTTGCCGCAAAACCGCCGGCAATAGGTTTTAGCGGGCTCGCGCACTACTTATTGCCGAGTTATTGCCAGGTTCACACAAGTTATTAGACGGAGGGGCGGTAGGAGAAGTGGAATGGGTTATTGCTCATCTATTGCCAGTTTCACGCCGATTAAGAAAGTCAATTTAAAAATTCCTAATTTTCAGAATATTACTATTAGTAGGCTATGTATACTTTGCTCTTATGAGATAAAAGTAAATATTTTGCAGTAACTGAAATTTTTATAGTGTTTCCAAGGTTACTCGGGCCAAGTTTGATATGCACTTTAAAAATTGAAAAACGTAAGGGGTAAAAAATTATTTTTTAACTCGTTTCAATTTTAAGATAACAACCTAAAATAAATTTGAGGTTTATAAAACATAACTAGCTATCACTACAGATTTTTTAATTCTTTACTTAATATAAGGCATGTATTTTTAAAAAAATTTCAAAAAAGTACATATACCCAATTAGGCCTACCCCTTATACCCAATTCCCCCCTTCTACCCTACTTCCCTATAACTTGGGGAAATTCGCTAAAACTAGGCTTAGGCCTAGGTACCAGTACCCTAGAGCCTAGGCTATTCTAAAAAAAAATAACCCTAGACTAAATCTGGCTTTTACTGGAGTAAGCATACTTTAGGCCTACCTTGTGCCTGATGACTTAAGTTAACATATTATTTTTGTAGGCTACTTAAATAAACAAGAAGGGTCTACCCTAGGCTATTATAAAAAAGGCAATGCCGTAAGCAGGAATGAATAGTAAAATACCTCGAGTTTACCTTGATATGGTTTGTAGAGTGAATGTTCCCTTTTCAAATAATCATTGGTGTTCCACTCTGCTAATGCAACGGGTAAATTTAAGTATAGGTCTAAATGAATTAAGACGAAACATAATAAATTTAAAACTGGATAATCCATTACTAAGAAAGAGTGAAAGAGCTTTCTAGGAATAATTAAGTTACAAGTTACAATAGGAAACGATGACGATCAAACAAAACAACAAAATTATGTTTAACCTTCAAGTCGAATATGTAGCAAAGTAGTAGTACTTTAGTATGATAGTAGTAGTTAGTTTAATAGTGGGCTGGGCAGTGGCGGTAGACCGTCGTGAAGTTAGCGGCTCTTTATCGGCGCTTTTTCGAATTGTAAAAGATACGGGTTGGTACGCCTGCGGACGCCACAAACGTGTTTTGCAGGGATGTCGGAAAAACAATTCAATGACATTACGGTACAGCGCAGAACGGTGGGGCACACGGGAGGGACACACGCCGCTAGAACCTAAGTTGAAAAAATTTAAATAATTTTTTTTAACTTTTAGTTATACTAGGTGGCGTTCGCAGAGGCATCCACAAAATTGAGCGGAGTCATCAAGGGTCCATATTATATCGTTTTTGTAATACTGCAGTAAAAACAATCGTATGTAGCAGTAAAAGTAGCATTTTTACTCTTTAGGGAGTAAAAATCGTTTTTAGCCTCTTTAAAAAAAAAATCAGCTGTTTTCAACTTATTTGTAAATGTCTATTGTAAACTGTGTAAAAAAATGTATCGAAATATGTATCGATTCGTGTTTCGTAATAGTTTTAACCTACAGTCTACAGTCTCTTCCCATAGCATTTTAGAATTGTGGATAAATTAATCCATTCCCACACTCAACACTGCTCACCTTTACTACTTCCTTCACCACCCCTGCACGTGGACATGTTTTCCCCTCTTCCCATAGCCTTTAAGGATTGCAGATACATTATTGTAATTGTCAAAAACCGTTTTCACACTCTGCACTGCTAACCTTACTACTTCATTCGCCATTTCCAACGTCATAGACCTGTTTCCTTCCCTTCTTATAACATTTAAGTATTAGATACATTTATCGAACTGCCCAACGGTTCCCCCACTCTACACTGCCAGCCTTTACTACCACTTCACCACTTTCTACATCGAGGGGCCTCTTTCCATGCCTTCTCATAGCATTTTAGGATTGAAGATACATTTATCTAACTGCCACAGACGGTTCCCACACTATGCTCATACTTTACTATTTCCTAAGCCATTTCCTCTATCGTGCACCTGTTTTCATCACTTTCCATAGCATTTTAGTATTTTTAATACATTAATCTAATTGCCACAAACATTGACCACACTCCGCACTGCTAACCTTTACTACTTCCTTCACCACTTCCTACGTCACGGATCTGTTTCCCTCCCTTTCCATAGCATTTTAGGATTGCAGGTACATTAATCTAACTGCTACAAACGGTTTATAGTTCCCACACTCCACACTGCTCACCTTACTACTGTCTTCACCTCTTCTTACGTCGCGGACCTGTTTCCCTCTCTTTCCATAGAATTTTAAGATTGTAGATACCTTAATATAATCGTCATAAACAGTTCCCACACTCCGTACAGCTCGCCTTTACTATGTGGTCATTCACCACATCCTACGTCACGGACCTGTTTCCTTCCATTTCCATAGCGTTTTAGGATTGCAGATACCTTAATCTAATCGTCATAAACAATTCCCACACTCCGGACAACTCGACTTTACAATTCCCTTCACCACTTCCTCCGTCACGGACCTGTTTCCCTCCCTTCCCATTGCATTTTAGGATTGCAGATACTTTAATCTAATCGTCATAAACAGATCCCACACTCTGGACAACTTGCCTCTACTACTTCCTTCACCACTTCCTACGTCACGGACCTGTTTCCCTCCCTTTCCATAGCATTTTAGGATTGCAGATACTTTAATCTAATCGTCATAAACAGTTTTCACACTCCGGACAACTTGCCTCTACTACTTCCTTCACCACTTCCTACGTCACGGACCTGTTTTCCTCCCTTCCCATAGCATTTTAGGTTTGTACCTTAATCTAATCGTCATAAACAGTTTCCACACTCCGGAGAGCTCGCCATGACTACTTCCTTCACCACTTCCTACTTCGCGGACCTATTTTCCTCCCTTTCCATAGAATTTTAGATTTGTAGATACCTTATTCAATCGTCATAAACAGTTTCCACACTCCGGAAAGCTCGCCTTGACTACTTCCTTCAGCACTTCCTACGTCGCGAGCCTGTTTTCCTCCCTTCCAATAGCTTTTTAGGATTGCAAATATCTTAATCTAATCGTCATAAACAGTTTCCATACTCCAGACAGCTCGCCTTGACTACTTCCTTCACCACTTCCTACTTCGCGGACCTGTTTTCCTCCCTTTCCATAGCATTTTAGATTTGTTGATACCTTATTTAATCGTCATAAACAGTTTCCACACTCCGGACAGCTCGCCTTGACTACTTCCTTCACCCCTTCCTACGTCGTGGGCCTGTTTTCCTCCCTTTCCATAGCATTTTAGGATTGCCGGACAGCTCGCCTTGACTACTTCCTTCAGCACTTCCTACGTCGCGGGCCTGTTTTTCCTCCCTTCCCATAGCTTTTTAGGATTGCAAATACCTTAATCTAATCGTCATAAACAGTGTCCACACTCCTGACAGCTCGCCTTGACTACTTCCTTCGCCACTTCCTACTTCGTGGACCTGTTTTCCTCCCTTTCCATAGCATTTTAGATTTGTTTATACCTTATTCAATCGTCATAAACAGTTTCCACACTCCGGACAGCTCGCCTTGACTACTTCCTTTACCACTTCCTACGTCGCGGGCCTGTTTTCCTCCCCTCCCATAGCTTTTTAGGATTGCAAATACCTTAATCTAATGGTCATAAACAGTTCCCATACCCCGTACAACTCGCCTTTACTAATTCCTTCACCAATTCCTACGTCACGGACCTGCTTCCCTCCCTTTCCATAGCATATTAGGATTGCCGGACAGCTCGCCTTGACTACTTCCTTCAGCACTTCCTACGTCGCGGGCCTGTTTTCCTCCCTTCCCATAGCTTTTTAGGATTGCAAATACCTTAATCTAATCGTCATAAACAGTTTCCACACTCCTGACAGCTCGCCTTGACTACTTCCTTCACTACTTCCTACTTCGTGGACCTGTTTTCCTCCCTTTCCATAGCATTTTAGATTTGTTGATACCTTATTCAATCGTCATAAACAGTTTCCACACTCCGGACAGCTCGCCTTGACTACTTCCTTCACCACTTCCTACGTCGCGGGCCTGTTTTCCTCCCTTCCAATAGCTTTTTAGGATTGCAAATACCTTAATCTAATCGTCATAAACAGTTTCCACACTCCTGACAGCTCACCTTGACTACTTCCTTTACCACTTCCTACTTCGTGGACCTGTTTTCCTCCCTTTCCATAGCATTTTAGATTTGTTGATACCTTATTCAAACGTCATAAACAGTTTCCACACTCCGGACAGCTCGCCTTGACTACTTCCTTTAGCACTTCCTACGTCACGGGCCTGTTTTCCTCCCTTCCCATAGCTTTTTAGGATTGCAAATACCTTAATCTAATGGTCAAAAACAGTTCCCATAGCCCGGACAGCTCGCCTTTACTACTTCCTTCACCACTTCCTACGTCACGGACCTGCTTCCCTCCCTTTACTTGATACTTACTTGATACTTGATGTGTTGCCACTGGAAGCGCTGCTGCGCCGTGGACGTCAGTTTTTTTTTCTTTTTATTTCTTTTCTATGGATTTAACATAAAGTCTTCAATTTTATATAACGGGGATTCCGTTAATACATTCTTCAATTTTTCTTTGAAGGATTCCATTGAAGGTTCTTCCTTAATCTCATTTGGTAGTTTATTAAAAATTGTTACACACTGATAGTGAGGGCTATTTCTTGCTAAAGTTGAATTTATCTGAGGTACATGTAAATTTTTCTTGTGTCTCGTATGTATGTTATGGACTAAATTTTGTATAATTTTGAATAAAGCATTGGGGAGATTTCTTAACTGTTACTGCTGCTTCAAATATGTAAAGAGACGGTAAGGTTAAAATTTGCAGTGATTTAAAAAAAGGTGCACATGGTGTTAAGTAATGTTGCTTACAAATTGTTCTAACTATTCTTTTCTGTAGGATAAAAACTCTCTTTGCATCAGGGCTATTTCCCCAAAAGAGTACGCCATAGGCTATTACACTCTGAAAGCACCCATAGTATATTTTTAGTAATACTTCTTGATCAACTATGTTTTGGAGTCTTCTTACTAAGCAGTATACAACTTTCAAACGTTTTATCATACTATCAATATGTTCAGTCCAGTGCAAATTTTCTGTAATTGTAATTCCAAGATATTTGGTACTATGGTTGATTTTGATGCTATTTCCATTCATTTTGAGTAAAGGTGAACAATTTGGAATTTTCCTATTGTAAAAATGAAGAACATTTGTTTTGCTTTGATTTAGTGTTAATCCATTTGAGCTGCACCATGAAACAATTTCATTTATTCCCTGTTGAGCTTCATCAATTACTTCTTTGATAACTTTTCCTGTAAATAGTTGACTGATGTCGTCTGCAAAGAGCCAAATATTACCCTTTGTCACTGAGCATGGCAGATCGTTAATAAAAAGCAGGAAAATTATAGGCCCGAGGTTTGAACCTTGCGGGACACCTGTGTTTATCAAAGGAGAAATTTTTGACTTGACAAATTTTGATGTCTGGTTTGAATCTGTATATTTTATAGAAACTACTTGTGTTCGATCTTGAAGAAAAGACATTATCCAATCTAAAGCTGTATTTCTTATTCCCATACTAATTAGTTTAATCCTCAGTTTACAATGATTTATGCAGTCAAACGCTTTAGTCATATCATAGAATAGACAAAGAGTTTCTTCCATAAGATCCAGATTTTTATAGACTGACCCCAAGAGTGTAAAAATGGCATCAGAGGTAGATTTACCCTTACGGAATCCAAATTGTTTATCAGTAATAACATGATTTATTTCTAAATAATTTATAAGTCTATTTATGAAAATAATCTCAAAGACCTTAGAGAAAACCGATTGTACAGCAACAGGTCTGTAGTTATTTACAAGTTTCTTTTCATTCTTCTTATGAATTGGTACAACTTTTGAAGTTTTTATTTGATTTGGAAACACTCCTGTGCTTAGTGATTTATTAATTATTTTTGTAAGGGGTTTTACAACAATGGTGTTAATGGATACCGTGTTAATCTAATCGTC